CGGACGCTTAACCGACTGCGCCACCCAGGCGCCCCAAGTAAATTCTCTTTAAAGAAAAGAGGTGGTATGTGAAAATAAAACTTTTTTCTTTTTTTATATTTCTATTTTCTGCCATAGAAGTAGGTAGATACCATTAGTAGGTGTCACATTTATGATTGGGAGGGGGGAGAAATTATTATTTTCAAAAAAGACAATAAACATACAAATCCCATAAGGTTTCATTAGAAATAGTAAAACAGGGGTGCCTGGGTGGCTCAGTTGGTTGGGCATCCGACTTCGGCTCAGGTCATGATCTCGTGGTTCATGAGTTTGGGCCCCACGTCCGGCTCTGTGCTGACAGGTCAGAGCCTGGAGCCTGCTTGGGATTCTGTGTCTCCGTCTCTCTCTGCCCCTCCCCTGCTCATGCTCTGTCTCTCTCTTTCAAAAATAAATAAACATTAAAAATTTAAAAAATAGTAAAACAAAAACATTAAACAAAATAGAATGCCAATAGAAAAATGAGTAATGAAATTTTACACACCTAAAATTATCCTCCCAGAAATATTTTAACCAGAAAGAATTTCAACACCTTAAAATGGTAGATTCAGGCCTTTAAAAAGTCCAAGATAAAAGCAAAGGGGTCCCTTCCTCTGCCAGGCAGGGAACACTGAAAGAATCAAGTGAAAATTAAAGAACAAGAAGCAGAACAGAGCCTCAATTGCTTTTTTTTTCCTCTTGGGCTCTTCTCCCCAAACTGACACTGACAGAAAAATGTGAGCCCCCTTTTATTCCAAATATGCCAATGACTCTGCCATTTTATTCCATTTAGTGATCTCACAGTGAATTAACTTCAGTGTAATCCACTCACCAGTCTTTTTATAGTTTATAAATGAATTCACAAGGCTTACAAAAGGAAAATTATTTAAAGTAATCAAAGTGGTTCTGCACTGAGGGACTGTTAAGAGCAAACTTCACTCTCAATTCTAATTACTAAAAAACAAAGGAAGAAGCAGCTTACCAAGTGAACCCAGTATGACCAAAATTGTTAAGATCCACACAAGTACTCTTGATATATACCTGATTATCACCATCAAAATCATGGAGAGAACTGCAGGGAAGATAGAGAACATGTAGAATATTATTTTAAAACACTGGAAAACACAAAGAGAAACTCTTTCAATTGTTTTCTCCTAGGAATATAATACGTTGCTATTGACCAGTTCAAGACCCCAGTTTAGGGAAGAAGGGTAACTAGCTACTTTTGCATTTCTGGTACTCGAGCCTACGTGCACCACTTGAATTGTGTCACTTGGAAACTACAGGCACCTAACTGTGGGTTTATAAATGACAGAAAAGAAAACATGCAAATGCATATGGTGACTCAAAAACAGCACAGAACTGTTGTGGATTCACCACGGGAAGACATTGGAACTCACATGCAAACATACATGCTAACACACAAAGTGTAGAGAATGATGTGTCATGTTGGTGATGAGAAAAATTACCACACATAGACAGAGATCAGTTAAACTAGCTACACTTCCATGTGTAATCCTCACATTTCAAGACCAACTTCTCTAACAGTTGGTCAATGAGCTAGACAGTATTTTATCTTTTTCTGGTCATTTCTCTTCTAAAACTCCAAGAGATGCTCTGATCCTACAGAATAATATTCTGAAGCCTACGGAGGCCCAAATTCCTCTGACCTTAATTTTCAACTGGTGTCAGGGGTCCTGATTGGTTGAGAGACTCTTCAAAGAAAAGCAAAGCTTAGTTTGAGTTATTTAGCCAAATGCCTCTACCCATCCCAAGCTAAATTCCAACATGCTAAAATCTGGAGTGAAAATCTTAAAAAAGAAACTGGGAAGATTTGACCTTTGCATGGGGAAATTCATTTCTGAAATCATAATTTGTTCATCTTTAATCATTTAAAGGCCCATTTCACAAATAAATTCTTAAAGATCTTAAGCCTCAAGAGAACCATTCTAATAAAAACTGGAATCCCAATGACTTAACATTATTATCACCAGTTTTAAGGTGTTTCCCCCCCATCCCCCCCGCCTTGGTCAAAGTATTCAACTATTTCAGAAACCAAATAATTTTTTCATAAAGCCAGACTAGTAGTCAAGATTTTTCGGGCCATTTGCAAAGCCAAATAAATGGTTGGGATCTGTGACTGGGTAACATTATTAAGGTACTCACTTTTGCAATAAATGTACAGGAACCAAAAACAGATGGGAGCGTTTCAAATATCACAGAAATAGCTTTTCATATGGACAGCATTATTTCAATTGAGTCAAGTACTACCTAAGCAAAAAGAAAATACTCTCTAATGACAAGACGGAAATACAGCTAGTCTTCTCAAAGACTATAATTGTTGTTAACAGGTATAAGGTATAACTCATTTCACATATATAATGAGATAGTTGCTTGGTTCCTACCACAGTTTACTCCTCCCAACTAGAAAGATCTATAGATTCTGATATGGCTACATATAGTTCTAGGATAATGTAGGGAGTTGAAATAACATTTACCTAATTATATTATCTATTGACAATAAAACTCAATGGCTAACAAGTGGAGATTTCCTAATTTTTCCAGCAATACAGTGACATCATGAACTGTAGCAATGAAAAAAAAAACATATTTCAAAAGTAATCTATCAGAAATCTATGTTCTTTGATGGAAATGTGTAAGAGAATATGTGGCCTCCTTTCATAAGCCTTTGGAATCATAACTGAAAACAAAGGGGTGTTGATTCATTAAGAGAAGCCTCCTCCTATCATATTAAAGGTTATTAGAGACAGTAACCAAAGTCTGGGAAAACACCAGTTTTCTCCAATGATAGAAAAAGAAAGGAAATTAGTTTCAGATATATAAATATATATATATAAATATGTATATATTTATAACTATATATAATCTGAAACAGTTATTTTGGCTATGGGAAGTTAAACATTTTACAGGTATCCCCACTGTATTCATATTTTGGTTAAAAGACAGAACAGTCTTCTACTGCAGTACTATGCAATAGCTAATAATGAGAAAAACAATTACCTAGTGATAACAAGCAAAGTCCCAATATAATTTCTTTGCTGGTCATTACTCCACTAATCAGCCTGTGTAAGACACTATTGTCACTGACAAAGGTGATCAGGGCCTCTGCAAACTTGGCATAGCAGGAAATGTTCACAGGAGCACAGCGATGGAAGAATGGAATAGGTGCACTGGTGACACAAGAAAAAAAAAATCAGAAAAAAAATTACTCCTACTTAATATAAATGCCACATCAAACACACAAATGAAAGGTGATTATGACTGCAATACACTCCACCCTCCACACATCATATGGGCGCTAAGAGCCGTGAGCTTAATGCTATGAAGATGACTGTCATGGGCAGGGATGCGAATCTTGCCACAGGCCTTATCAAAGAGGGTGGAGTGCATGTTCCAAAGAAGACATTACCCTCCCCTTCTGAAAAGAAACACACACACATATACACACACATACGCACATACAGAACTACCAAAAGCAAAACCAAACACTTAAAAACTCCTCAGCCTGCACATCTATCAGTCAAGGGGCAGATGACAAAACTTAAGGAACATATACTTCATTGAGCTGAAAATGAATTTTTGCCATAAGCTATTTAAAAATAGAAAACACACATGCTTTTGCTTGAAATGTGCCACCATTAATAGAATGTTTCCTCTATCAGAACAGCATACAGAACCTTGCATTAAAAAAGGTGTTCGGGGCACAAGCTTAATAATCCTCATATAAATTAATCATGCCAAGACATCAACATACAGCATAATGTGCAGCTAATTAAAACAATAACCATGGATACTAATGTATGGAAACACGAGGTTAATAGTACAAGGGGAAAAAAACAAAAATTTGTATCTAAAGTGATGGTTGTATCTCTGTACAAAAGATATATACATAAAAATGAGAACAGAAAAAATATACATAAATGAAAAATCTCTGATTTGTTAAGGTCATGGGATTCTGAGTTGTTTTCTTTCTATATATAATTTTTATTATAAGATTATTTGTGTTCAAAAAAAAAAGACGTAATCCGTTATTATCAGGTTTACACTGACCACAACTCTTTTTGTGAAGGAACATAGTTATGTGTGAACCATGACATAAGTAAGTCTGGTTTGTTATAACATATTCTACTTTAGCCTTGGAAAGTATGGTATGCATCTGATCAATGAGAGATTCTAAAAAAGCTCTATGAACATGCCCTCAGTTGTGATTTGAATGAATTCTAAGAGAGTCCATATGTCTGTCCATACAGAAATACACACTTCTGTGTGCACTAAAATTTAGCTATCACTAACATAAATCTCATATTTTCAGAATTATTTGTGGTACTATCAGTCATAGCTCTAATATAACACCGTTGGCTGGAATGATATAAGTATGCTCTCATTTTTGGTTGGCACTGTATTTTGTATCAAATTAGTGGAGAAGAGTCTATGATTGGGCACCAAATTCCAAAGTTTCTGATCTCAGCAAGCAATTTTGTATGACCTGAAGCAAGACACTATCTTTGTTTTTCCTTCCTCAAAAAACAACAAAAATATTTTTCAAATAAAAATAAACGTGTACTATGTATTGATTTTCCTTAAATGCTGGTAAATGAGCATCACTGGGAGTAAGAGTAGGCAACATCTTCCATCCTGTTGAACTTCATGGAACAATAAAATAATTATAAAGGTCTAGTCTTACCTTAGTTATGCTTCAGCAAAATGTATCCCCCCAAAATGATGTGACACTATGATAGAAATGTTCACTTAAAAAAGAAGTGACTCTTGTGACTTGTGGGTGTATTTGTGTATACCTCTAAAATGGTGTTGGTGAAAGTTAATGTCCAAGATTCAATATTTTGTCAGAAATTGCAGAAAGTCAGAGCATTCTTAGTAGGGCTTAAATTACAGGCATGCAAGTCATTGTTTTTGACCAAATTTGTTTCACTAATGATATAAAAAGCTATTAAATTACAGAATACCTTTAAGTGAAATGGATTTCGTCAGAAATATTACAGGAAAGAATCAAAAGAATTAACCATAAGTTCATAGTCAATGGAGGCTAATGTGGGACACATTAGCTTCATTGTGACCTATGACTGTTTTTCTTCCTGATGCTATCTAGATAATGTCCCTGACACTTTAATATCCCTGTCTGAGGACTTCTAACCATATTTTTAACTGAAGCCTCGTTCTCTATCCTTTGAAACCAAAGTCCTCTCTGTTCCATGGTTACCTATATCTTCATCTGCTTTACTTATTACCCTATCATTTCTGATATAGCCTCTGTTTAACTCACTTGCCTCCAACCTTGAACATAAAATGTATCTCCCTTAGGGATACTGATGTCATTTTCTCATTTTCAACATCCACCAATTTTCTTGGCCCTGCTGTTTCTTTTTTCCTGTCATATAACCACAAGTGTACCTTACACTCTGTCCAGAAGCAGCTCCACCTGTATCTCCCATATACTAACAGGATTTTAATATAGTTTTATACTCAAAGAGACATACACGACATTTCTAAAAGAGAGCAGAGCCTGTTATAACAGAAAGAAAACTGGCCTTGACTTCAAAAGCCCTGGGTGATCCTCCTAACATTACATAGCTTCAGGTCACTCCATCTCTCTTTCTCAGTTTCTCCATCCGTTAGCTGAAAGGATAGGAGTAAGACCTCTCTGAGTCTTTGATGATGATGATGATGATGATGTTGATGATGATAACTGTGATAGATCCCAGCCATAAGTCAGTAATTCTAAATTAATAGGAGCAGATGCCCAGTAGTGTTTGTGTTTTTCTGCTTTTCAGACTTATAATGAGGATCGATGGTTTGAAAAGGGAAGGATTATACTCTTAAAATTCGAATCTTTCATTCCTATTTAAGAGGAAATGCTGAGCAATATTTGCACTCTTACCCTCTCAAGTCATTTTTATACTATCCATAAACACTTGGCTAATTGGAAAGAGTACTTTTACAAGTCTCCTTCAAAGAATTGAAGCAAAGTAACAACGGGTCCCTTACCTTATAATTTAATCTATGTTGGTTTAAAGAAAAACCTGACAGCTCTACATTTGAAGGTATAAAACTAGTACAGGCAGATTACATTGTCTGGCTGATGGTCAAAATGGTCAAGTGGTAAGGAATATCAGAAATAGAAGACAAAAGAGAAGGCAATGTTTGGTTACAATAAAAAAATCAAAGTTAAATACTTAATCAAAAAAATTTTTTTAATGTTTACTTATTTTTGAGAAAGATAGAGACCGAGTGCAAGCGAGGGAGGGGCAGAGAGAGAGGGAGACACAGAATCCGAAGCGGGCTCCAGGCTCCGAGCTGTCAGCACAGAGCCCGACGCGGGGCTTGAACTCAGGAACGGTGAGATCATGACCTGAGCTGAAGTCGGACGCTCAACCGACTGAGCCACCCAGGCGCCCCTAAATATTTAGTTTCAAAGAAAAAGCACTACACTCCCTTGTCTTCATTTTCTCTACCAAACAAAAACAACTTAATCAGCCATGAGTTTTTAATACTCAGATGATTTTCTTGTTAAAAAATCTAAGTAATCATGGCATTGAAATGGTTTGTCTTATATTTTACCATTTAAATCCTATGTGATACAATGAATTTTAGTTAGCTGATTTCATATACCTCTCAGAAAGTAATACTTCTATGAGATCTTTTCTACTTTAGTATCTAACCTAAATGACACACCCTGTGCTTCGTAATTAAGAGGACAGCATAAAGAATTCTATTTATAGTAAGTTCCTCTACCTCTTGAAGCCCACAGAATATTGAATCTTTAAGAAGTCAATGTAGTCCTGTTAGGAACTGATGCTGTTTCACATTATTGAAACATCAGTCAACAAGAACAAAATGAATTTATAATGAGTCTTTTAAAGATTTTTAAAAATTAGCCACTCAGAGGAAAATTGTATCTTACCTTGGCAAACATACTGTCCATTTGCCTTAAGTCCAGACTATCATAGCTAATGAGCTCCCTCAAAATATGATGACAAACAATGTATTATCTCTTGTCCGTAGGCCTTCAGAAGTGAAGACAGGAGTTTGCATCGCCATTATCTTAAAATCTCAGGTTATAAATAAGCAATTACACATGATTTCTAAGGAAAAGTTTTATTTAAGAAAGAGTAACAATAAAGGATTCTGGCAATAGCTCTATAGCACAGAAAACACAGCAAATAAATAAAGACTATAATGGCAATACTCATTGGTTTTTCAAACACTTCATTTTATTTATTTTCTCACTTTCATTCTTGTACTCTTTTTAAAAAATTTTTTTTTTTATTTTTTTTAAGTAAGCTCCATGCCCAATGTGGGGCTTGAACTCATAACCCTGAGATCAAGAATCGCATGCTCTACTGACTGAGCCAGCCAGGCTCCCCCACCGTTTTTTTTTTTTTTTTTTTTTTTTTTTTTTAACCAACTGGTGTAGGACTTTGTCTTGGGGAAGACGGCAGAGTAGCAGGGCCCTAAGCTCACCTTATACTATGGATACAACTAGAAAACGCTCACATCAGGGTAAAACTAACTGCGGTATAGACTTCACAAGATCTTAGATTAAAATTATGATTCCCAACGATTAGTTTTGTGGCTTTGCACAACTTATTTAACTGATCTTCTACTTCCTCATCTATAAATTAGGAACAATATCCTTATAGGATTTTGTAAGGACTAAATAAGACAATATATATGAGAAACTTAATATGGTGGCTATAGCACACAGCAGATGATTTATAAATGCTAATTAATGTTGAATTCTTCATTTTAAAATATGTACAGATAACACTTTTTTTCTTGGCTATTGGTTTCTCATTTCCATATCATGCTATTAATTCTCCAACACCTAATATCCTTACTGGCATCCAGAAGTATCCAATAAATGGTGAATAAACTGAATTTATGTAATCTGTTTCTACCACTGCAATTTTCTCTAGCTATACCTAAACCTTTAAGCATTTTAAGCATAAGGGCCAGCTTGTCTCCCTACTGCTACCATGCTTGGCATGTCATCAACAGAGAGTTATGAATTTGGATAAAATATGGCCCTTTCCAGGCATTTGCTTTTAAAATTCGAAAGCTCATTAGGAATAGTAACCATTTGGCAATTATGTGGTGTGAGTGTTTTATTGCAAATTAGTTTACAATGGCTTTTATCTAAGAAACAGGCATTGCTTTCGGTTGCAAAGGGTCCCTGGGAACCCAGGAAGGTTAGGGGCAAAAGGGGAGGCTCTAGAGGTTGACAGAAATACTTACTCCTTAAGCCAGATGTCAAGCACAATAATGGATGCTTAAAGGGGCAGCTGGGTGGCTCGGTCGTTAGCGTCTGACTTCGGCTCAGGTCATGATTTCGTGGTTTGTGGGTTCCAGCCCTGAGTTGGGCCCTGTGCTGAGTTCAGAGCCTGGAGCCTGCTTCAGATTCTGTGTCTCCTTCTCTTTCTGCCCCTTCTATGCTCATGCTCTGTCTCTGTCTCTCAATAATAAATAAACACTAATTTTTTTTTTTTAAATAATGGATGCTTAAAACATTGCCTATTTAATTCTTACAACAATTCCATGACAGAGGTATTAACATTCCCATTTTACATAAGAGAAAACTTGGTTCACAGAGAGGTTAAGAGACTTGCTTGAGCTGGCAAAGAGAAACTGGTGACACAGAATTCACCCCCAGGCCTATCTGGACTTAAGGTTTAGCTCTTTCTGTCCCACTAGGGCACTCCTCAGAGGACCACAAAATAGATAGGAACCATGCTGAAGGCCACTTGCCTCAGCACAGGTTTGCCTAGTGCTAGTCTTTTAGTGTATATAAAAAAGTCACCAAACAGTCCCTATTTTTTTTTTTTTTAAGGACAGAGTTTCTTAAGGACAGAGACTAGATCTTACTTATCTTTGGAGATTTGGTATCTAATACTAAGTGTGGAACATGGTATTGCCCCAAGTTTTTTATTAGAACAAATTCTTTGTTTTTTTTTTTTTTTTTTTTTTAATTTTTTTTTCAACGTTTTTATTTTATTTTTGGGACAGAGAGAGACAGAGAAGGAACGGGAGGGGCAGAGAGAGGGAGACACAGAATTCTCCAGGCTCTGAGCCACCAGCCTCCAGAGTCTGACTGCCTCTAACTCACGGACCCGCTGACCTGGCTGAAGTCGGACACTTAACCGACTGCGCCACCCAGGCGCCCCAAATTCTTTGTTTTTTGATCCTTATACTTTGCTTGTCATATGCTAAATGATGATATTTACAAGGTCCTAATCTGACTTCCTTCTATCAACTGTTACTTTGCTTTTACTTTCCAACAGGCTGAGTTCAAATTAAAGTGGTAAGATACTTTTAGACTGTAAGGTACTAAGATTAGTGAAACATGGGGATATATAAATAAGTATAAACAGTATACAGTCAGGTTTCTGATGGCATAGGGTCATCATTGCTTCTTGGATTACTGAGACATTAGTAGATGACCTTGTGAGAAGCCCAGTCTGTCCATGTCTAAAACTCAAGCCTCTAATACTATGTTTCATCTTCAAAGTGAATGTCCTTAGGACACCTTATGTGAGATACGTGAGTTATATACAGCCAAGAATGGAACACCTGAGATAGATACCCAGGAACAGGCAGTCCTCAACATGGTAGAGTCGGAGGTCATTGGTGCAGGAGGATTTACCTGACCCCACCCATATTACACAGGGGCATCCTCACATCAAGGCTTTCAGGTAATCCTTTCATAACATGTTTACGCCTTAAAATGTGACTCTACACTCAAAGTATGCATTTAAAACAGGCTTTTAGCAGTTGAGTCGATAAGAGGACAGAGCCTTTCTTGTTTTTACATTGATAAATTTTCTCTATTCTATGTGACTCTATTCTATGTGACTCTATTCTAAGGACCTCCTTTTCTTTACTGTCACAGCCTCCCTAATAGTCTCAATGTTCATGAATGGAGTCTCTTTACCAATTGGTCTAAGCCCAGAATTTATAGGCCCTACTTACTATCTTTTTAAAACAGTTCCTTTATTTTTATTTCCATAGGCTTTACATTTTAATTTCAATAGCAACGTGACAAGACTAAAAGAGCTGGAAATCAACTAAAGTGATATTATTCCGTTGTCTACTTTTTCAACAGAAAATTTCAAATTTCACTCAAGTTAATAAAGCACAAGTTACACCCATAAGCAAGCCAAAGGAAAGCAGACATAAGATGGGTCTCAAAATGTTAACCTGTAGCTTGCTGTCATATACTAAGATATAATAAAAATGGTCTCAATTCAGTATTCCTAGTGAAGTTGACGCATGTCATACATGGTTAGTGATACACACTTAAGGTTCTCAAGATCAGACATGTTCCAAATCCTACGCCCCTAATTCTGAGGATATATTGTACAATGCTTGCAAATTTGTTTCCTTGTTAAAAAAAAATCTGTAATTTTAAAGCTGGCTTTATTTATAACTACTGTGAGATCCTTCCAAATAAAGAATATTTCTTGTCTCTTCTGTGCATCCATGATATGCAGTAGGTACTTAATAATAAATATTTGTTGAATAAGACCTTGGATAAGATATGGCAAACAGCATATTATTATAGAGAATGTACCTAAAAGATGTAGCCTGAAATAAAGGATGGAGAATAATCTGGCATATTTTTTAAATTTACAAAGTAAATTAAAAAATAATCCCACTAAGTATTACTGGAATCAACTTCAGAGAATCTTTGGAGACTGTGAGACTTGGCTTCTAATTTCACTGCAGATTTTGTAATGATTCAGCAGTTCTCCACACTTAAAAAGTATGGCATTAAAAAAAAAAAAAAAGTGAGCCCCCCAAAGAAATTTAAAATATCTGAGAATGAGAAAAGTTGTTTGTCTCTGTGTGTGTTTTAAGATATGAAACACATGTTGTCATTTCTACTACTACTTTTTAAGTCTTGTTGTAAAAATAAGTACTGGTCATAAGCAACAGGTATCATCAAGTGACTTTTCTCTCAGAATAATATATACAGTTTAAAATCTACCTACAAAAACAAATTCACAAGTTAACAAAATACAATAAAAGTTACCTCGCTGGAACTGGTAGTTTGGGGCAAAGAACAGAAGCTTTTGAAGATGTAGTATATTCAGAGGGCTTTAGGTTGTAGCTACACAGTGCTGAGCCTGTTGAAAGAAAAGCTGTATGTTAGCTGGCAGAACAGAGCCTAAATAAATTCTCCCATGGATTCACTGTAATTTCATTTTGTATGTTAATATCAACTCAACATATACAACTTTTAAACACTAGAATTAATAAGAATCTGACTTGGTCTTTAGCATCAGTCCTCAATCATTTAAAACTAATTTCTCTCTCGCAATTTATGTACAAAGTTTAATAATACTCAGGGTAATAATAACAGTAAGTACTAGAACTACCTTTCTTGAGTGTCTGCCATATATGTTATATATATATATATATATATATATTTTTTTTTTCCCTTAAAGAGTCAACTTTTAATTATAACTAACCAAACCATGTCCAGGGACATCTCCAAACAACCAAACAACAGAAACATGACAAAATTCTCCTGTTGAAGAAGCCAAGTATCTTGGCCCACCCCAGCATTTCTGAGGGTCAGGCCAAGAGCAGCCCATTTCCAGGGCTGGTTCTATACCCATGCAAGTTTATCATCCCTGCAGAAGGATTGGAGATGGACCCCTCTTTCCAACACACTGGGAACTCAGAAAGTCACTAGGTGGAGGGGCTCTCCTCTCGCCCCATACATATGTTAATTATGTGTTTACTTTAACTTGATTAAGCAGGGGCTATTACACCTCCTTCACAGAGGACGAAATAGAGGCTAAAAGATAAGATATATAACTTGCCCAAGATGACCCAGCTACTAGGAAGGAGAGCTGGAATTGAACCCTAGGTGTCTCTGACTACAAACCCTGCCTCAACTACACATGACGTCCCTCTTTCCTATGCTTCCCATTACTAAGTATGTAAAAGCACTGCATACGGCACATATGTTTTCAGACAATACGTTTCTTTTTCCTTATTTTAAAGGCAGTAAATAGTAACTGTAAATAAACTGAACAAATTGATCAAAGAATTCTCAGCTTTCAGAGAGTTTAAAACAAGCTCAAATTCAATCCTAGGTTGGTTATGCAAACAGCCATCTATTTCTTGGTCTGTGTGGCTAATACAAATCTAAATAATATGTAAAAGTCGGATGCAGTCCAGCCAATCCTTGATAAGTATTATTTTACTGACCTGCTGATTTTGTAATACAGCAACGAGAATACTGTCAGGTTCATTGTAACGATAAATACCGTTAACTGAGAAGACCTAGGCTCTAGTCCTAATCTTGCTAAGGACCTACTGCACTCTATCATGTAAACTGTTTATATTTTATTAATTGCAGTTCCTATCAGATTACTAATTTGGCCAAATATTTTATTATTAAATATAAATAGAATAGCTTTGTGTTTATATTATAGTAACAATGAAGTTTCACATAGTACCACCTTGGAAAAAGTTTAAAATAAAATGTGAGGTGAAAATGGCAGGTTTTAACATTGAACTAATTATAGAAATATCATGTGAGGATGTAAGAAAGAGCTAGAAGAGACTACAGAAAAAAGATTTGCTGGGATAACAAACAAACTTGAGAGTGGTTTTATTTCATTTATACCTTATCCTGTCAACCAAAAGAATTTTTAAAAAGCCACAAACCTGCATTTAATTCAGTAATGCTGCCCCCAAACCAGCAATAAACCTGCCAGGTATTTAAATATGTCAGCTGTAGGGGCGCCTGGATGGCTCAATCCGTTAAGATCTGATTCAGGTCATGATCTCCCGATTTGTGAGTTCGAGCCCCGTGTTGGGCTCCCTGCTGACATGCTGACATGCTGACAGCTAGGAGCCTGAAGTCTACTTCAGATCCTGTGTCTCCCTCTTTCTCTGCCCTTCCCTCACTCACACTCTGTCTCTCTCTCTCTCAAAAACAAACATTAAAAAAAAAGTTAAAAAAAATATGTGGGCTATATATATCATACGTCATAAAACCATGTAGCATCTATTTTATATAAAGATAATTCAAGTAATTGGACAATGTAAGATCTTTTTAAAGAGACGCTTGAAAGTTACATGGCACTTAAGTTTCTTCAGCTTCTTAAGACAGACTCACTAGGAAATTAAGTTTCTGAAACTGTTTTTGAACATTCTTTACCATTTTAATGACTTATTGTAGTTAAGTTAAATTTGCATGTTATTTGCCATATTAAATATGCATGAATATTAAATATCTAACTCTTCTAAAATTAGTCTTTCATGTTTGAAGATAATGCCACTAGATTCCATTTACAGCAGTTTTAGAGAAAACATGGCAGCGGTGAAAAGCAAACATTTTAGATTAATCCTGAAATATCCGGGAGTCCTACTATAGGATTGCTCATGAAAAAAACCAGCCACTGTGCCAATAACCGCAGAGCACCCAATGTGATCATCAACTTCCTGATCTGAATGGTCAACTTCTTTCTTTCAGAGTCCAAGATGGAATCGATTTACACAATATGAAAGGCCCTAACTAAAGCACTGTGTCAGTGCTGTCAAACACACTGCTTCTGCTGAATTCAGTGAACATAATCTCCGTCCCCACCCTTTCTTCATTTAAAAAAGGAGGTCAGCAGGTGCAACAGAGTTCAATTTTATAAATACTTTCCCAGGATAATGCTCAATGAAAGGATAATAGCCTTATCTCTGATGGTATTCTGGGACACAGGCCAGTACTAAATAGATCCTGTACTAAATAGATTAAAAGAAAAAGATCTTTACAATGTGTTAGTAGTAACAATCAGAAGAAACTTTATAATGCTTCCTGCTCAAAAGGCTGATGGACAGAGAAGCCTCAATGAAGAACATTAAAATAACCCAGTAATGGCAAACATGTTACAATTGTTTTTCTTTTCATGTTTGTTAGCTAATTCATTTTCAGTGAACACTTTTAAGGTGTTTTTTTTTTTTTTTTTTTTTTTTTTTTTTTTTTTTTTTTTTTTTTTTTTTTAAGTGAAGGTATAAACAATACTTAGCACAAGAGGTTTGGTCAGAAACTGTAAGACAAAGTTTTTCTTCTAATGCAAAAGGCAGGGAAAACCATACTTGAGTAATGAAGTCTAAAACCAAAAACAAAAGCTTATCTAAACCACACCAGAGGCAATCCATGCAATTCAGCCAGTGTTATTCAAAATGAGTGATCTTAGGATGCCAACTTGGGTATATAAACATTTATCTTGGTAAACAGTTGCTATAGTCCCCAGAATGTTTAACTACTATAATTTTTCAAGTGCCTTATAATATTCAATTATTTATTCTTTAGCTCAACATCACTTATAAGAACTCCCTTAAGAGGGATGTTTCCATCACCATGCTCCAAACACTACAGATGAAACAAAATAAGTAATACTTCCAAGGCCTTATAAGCAATCACTGACAAATTTAGAAATAAAATTCTCTACTCTTAGGCCACAATGCTTCTTCCGCGCAATTCCTAATAATCATAATCAGACAAATATTCAATAAGCTCCTGGGCAAAAAAAACATACATTCCACAGATACCTCGAAAACAACATGTTTGGGGAAAAAAAAGACATCTCCATCACCCACTCTCCAAATCTGCTCTGCCTCCTTTCATGTATTTTCCATCCTTGTTAATGGCTCTACCATCCATGAAATCCCCATGAATTTGAAATGGAAAGTCATCCTATATCTTCTTCTTTACCCATCGTCTTCATATATCCTTCAAGACACTTAAGAAACCAAGTTCTGACAACTGGATCTTTCTATGAGTTATCTATCTCAGACCTTTAAAATCTCTTATTGGTTCAAACTACTCTCCCAAAGGGTTTCTCCTCTATATGCTGCACACAGCCTTGAGAAGGGTCTTTGTAAAATGGGCATTAGTTGTATAATATTCCTGCCCTCAGAATAATTTCCAACTCCTTGGCTTCAAAGCTCTCCTAAAGCAGGCCTCTACCTAGAACTCCAGCCTCATCTTAACATAATAAACTACTTACGGGGCACCTGGGTGGCTCAGTCGGTTGAGTGTCCAACTTCGGCTCAGGTTATGATCTCACGGTTCATGAGTTCAAGCCCCGCATTGGGCCCACTGCTGTCAGTATGGACCCTGCTTCTGATGCTCTGTCCCCCTCTCCCTCTCTGTCCCTCCCTCACTTGTGCTCTCTTTCTCTCAAAAATAAATCAAAAAAACATTAAAAATATTAAAAACAAAACAAAACATAACTACCTACAATTCTTGCTGTTTAACAAGCTCTCAGGCTTTTTCACATGCTGTTCCCTCTGCATGGGCTGTCCATTCCTAAATACCATCTGAGTGTTCAGTTTGAGCAGAATTCTACAAACTACTCAAGCCTCACCTCCTCCAGTAAGCCTTCTCTGATGCACCCAAATCTACTTACTGCTTCATTCTATTATAAAACTTAGCATATTATTTTGCAATTTTTTAGCTTACATATCATCTCTACTTTTAGAAAGTGCACTCTTTTGAGAATTGGGACCTTATGTCTTCAAAATATGTGGGACCCCTCTCTCCTGGTACATAGGCAGTACGTCAAGAGCCATACAACACACATCCTGATTGAAAAAAAAAATGAAATAACTATTTTTAATCTCTTATTTTGGTGTTATGTGTTATATATAATGTTTATTTGCTTTTCACTATTCACTATAAATTATACTATATAAAACAGGACTTCTCAACCCTGGCATTTTGAGCTGGGCAATTCTTGGTTGTAGGGGCTGTCCTGTGCATTGCAGGATTTTTAGCAGTATCCTTGGTCTCTATCCACAAGATTCCAGGACCCTCCCCCACCCCGCAACCCTTCACTCAGTTGTGACAACCAAAAATGTCTCCTAACACTGCTAAGTGTGGGGAGTAGAAAGTTGGGGGGGGGCATGCAGTGGCAATATTACCCTTAGATGGGAACTACTGGTCTAAAACACCAATTTGAAACAAAAATACAAAATGGGGTTGGTAAGTTGGAAGCTAACTCTTGCTGTAAAATTCTGCTTGATTTGCAGGGCACCTGGGTGGCTCAGCCAGTTAAGTGTCCAATTCGTGGTTTGGGGCTCAGATCATGATCTCATGGTTGCTGAGTTGAGC